TCAGCAAGCCGGGCAGAAGTACCTCGTAGTAGGATTAAACCATCGTCTCGATAAAGGCCGACACGGTCTTTACCATATTTCTTTGCCAAGGAATTGAGTATAAATAGGCCGATAAGTTCGCACACTTCTGCTCCATCAAAACTGCCCATGGTTACGTCAAACAAGGGATTGTTTTGTTGTTTGATCCAGGTTTTACCGTCATTGAACAGAAGCGATTTTCTTGCGTGTTTGATGACGTTGATCTGCTTATCATCGATATTAACGTACCCGCGAGCCCAAGTGATGGCTTTGTCAAGAAGTTCCTCTGTTATTGATGGATAAAACTCTGCTACGTCGAAGGAAATGAAGGAGTGACCAGGTTTGTTCTTGATATTTTTGAACCAGTCAATGACAGATAAAGAATTTTTCCACTGGTTCAATCCGGTAGCGTTTCTGATTTGCGTATTAATGTCATCCAGGATGATCTTACTAATTTTACCTAGTTCACTCTTTGCTGGGTTGATAAGACGGTATTTTGGATTTGTTTCAAAATTCTCCTTGTGATCTTTTAATGTAACAAAAGCATCTTTTGATGCCATTGTCTCAATACGATCGCTGACTGAAAGGTTGTCCGTAATTCGGCTTAGATCAAAGTTGATTTCCTCTATCACATCATTGTCAGTAAGTTTGTATGTTTTTGTCACGTTATCTTTCACAATTTTATTGTAGTTCTCCGGTGTTGTTTCATATACGTTTTTGGTTTTGTCCGCAAAAACAAATACATTTGGCGACGTTTTAACTTTCTTAAGATCATTATCCAGATCATTTAAAAATTTGTCGGAAACGTTTCTGAACTGAATATTTTCCATCATGTTTACAAGATTTTCACTGTAAAATTTGATCATCTTTGGTCTCATTAATATTATCAAAGCACCTGTTATACGCGGTTGTGCACTCTTGTTTATGTGTAATCACAAATACTTAAAATAAATCAGATCCGATTTAATTATTCCTTGAAGAATATTGGATTACCTTCTCGTGATGAATACAAGAAAAGGCTTATTGACAAGATCGAAAACGTGGTAACCAGAATGAGATGGAAAGCGCATTTTTATCTACATGAACCAAACGCGAAAGAACAATATAAATTTGGATTAAAATCAAAAACGGCACCACCTTTTATCCATGAAATGAAAGCTTTTGAAGATGATCTTGTAAACATGATGGAAAATATTCAGTTCAGAAACGTTTCCGACAAATTTTTAAATGGTCTGGATAATGATCTTAAGAAAGTTAAAACGTCGCCAAATGTATTTGTTTTTGCGGACAAAACCAAAAACGTATATGAAACAACACCGGAGAACTACAATAAAATTGTGAAAGATAACGTGACAAAAACATACAAACTTACTGACAATGATGTGAAAGAGGAAATCAACTTTGAACTAAGCCGAATTACGGACAACCTTTCAGTCAGCGATCGTATTGAGACAATGGCATCAAAAGATGCTTTTGTTACATTAAAAGATCACAAGGAGAATTTTGAAACAAATCCAAAATACCGTCTTATCAACCCAGCAAAGAGTGAACTAGGTAAAATTAGTAAGATCATCCTGGATGACATTAATACGCAAATCAGAAACGTTACCGGATTGAACCAGTGGAAAAATTCTTTATCTGTCATTGACTGGTTCAAAAACATCAAGAACAAACCTGGTCACTCCTTCATTTCCTTCGACGTAGCAGAGTTTTATCCATCAATAACAGAGGAACTTCTTGACAAAGCCATCACTTGGGCTCGCGGGTACGTTAATATCGATGATAAGCAGATCAACGTCATCAAACACGCAAGAAAATCGCTTCTGTTCAATGACGGTAAAACCTGGATCAAACAACAAAACAATCCCTTGTTTGACGTAACCATGGGCAGTTTTGATGGAGCAGAAGTGTGCGAACTTATCGGCCTATTTATGCTCAATTCCTTGGCAAAGAAATATGGTAAAGACCGCGTCGGCCTTTATCGTGACGACGGTTTAATCCTACTACGAGGTACTTCTGCCCGGCTTGCTGACAAAGCTAGAAAAGATCTCCACCAACTTTTCGATGAGTTTCAACTGAAAATCACCACAGAAATTACCTACCAATCTGTCAACTTCCTAGATATCACCTTAAATTTAAATGATGAAAGCTACCAACCCTACCGAAAGCCTAACAATGAACCACTTTTCATTGACA